TGCCTTTTCTCTATAAAAAAAAACTCTCCCAAAGCTTCTATGGGTACACTTAAAATTTGGTGCTAGAAATTAGAAAGGATTTTTTTCTCTTAAAACTTTTAATATACCAAGTTTATCTTTTAACAATAGTAATGGATAACAAAAGCTAGGATACTCTGGGTTAAACAATATGCTTTAAATAAATGCTCTCTTCAAAATTATCATCCTGATAAAGGCATTGACTAAAAACTCATAATGCAGTCATTAACTTTTTATGTTAAAATAACCTTGAATTTAAACCATTTATGTTTCTGAATTAGTCTTTTGAATAACCTCAAGTATAAGTTTCATAATTTTGAACATGAATTTTTGTTATGGGTGTAAACAAAAATCTGTCAGATTCAGATCATTTTGGAGAAAAAAATAAATCCTATTGGATAAAAGCTTGGTATAAAAACTATACAATTATTAAAAGTATTTGTACAACTTAAATGAACCTCATAGGCAAAATTTCAAGATAATTTTGAGGATGGCAACAGTGAAATAATAACCAATGATTTTGAAAAAAGTGTATCACCTAACATGAATATTCAAAATGAAGTCTACTTTGAAGTTCTACAATGTGTAGTGCAGACTAAACATGAATATGGACAGAACTATCAAGAAGAGCACTTCTCAGTCACCAGTAGATTTCTGAAGAGGTGGAACTTAATCACAACTTAAGAGGAATTTGGCTTAAGAGGTAAAACCTAATTACCCTGATTATGAGGCTGAGAAAGAATGGGCTGAATTACTGTGGAGAATAGGAAGTAGGGGTTTCCAGGCTACTGACCTGAAAGTCATGTTATTGTTCTGCTAATAAATGAAATTCTTGTCCATTCACATAAATTTCTCTGGATAGCCTTTAATATATTTTTGTATGAATATGACAAATTGTTCCCTTATTTCCTATTTTCTCAATAGCTACCTTGTCTCTTTTATAATTTTTGGTTAATCTCTAGCTACACTGATATTTTTAGAGCAATTTTCTTTCTTAAAAATCCAAAAAGTAGTTATATGTGTTCAGTACAGTCATTCTATATATCTGGACACTACAGAAAATTATTCAGTAATTTATCTAAAATAATGAGCATGTATGTTACCATTCATCCAAATCTGATTTTAATACTTTTTAAAAATAAGGCTTATGATAGTCTGCTTTGGTTGAACACTCATTTTGATTGAAATAAATTAGTGTGCATTCATCTCTAGATTTCTTGAGAAAGAGTAAGCAATAAAGTCCTGATGTACGGTTCCCTAATCTTCATCCAATTTGGTCTTGCTTTAGAAAAAAGTAAAGAACATGGGCTTATCAATAGCCTTGATTAGTTCTTTCACGAGAGTTCATTTGGAAAATAAAAGTTGTAAGTGGGGCATGAAATCTCATTTGGAAATGGCTGAAAGTATTTTACTTAATACAATTGAACACTATAATTACAATTTGATTTTTAGTCTGTATTTTATATCTCATAACAAATATTTCATCTTTAACTGTAGCTGACAAAAATGTTCATATCCTATCTAATAAAATTGACCATACCTCTGCTACATTCACAAGCCACCCATCAGCCAATCAGGAGTGAGTATGCAAATCAATCCAACCAAGATAGTTGCTGCCATGGAGCTTCCTCAAGCAGAAGGCTTGGATTTCCCTAGCAATTGAGGAAGCCAAGCTTCCCTGCCTCCCTGGCCCGCCCAGGCCTACACTCAAAGCTACAAAGTTTCAATTATAGAAGGTAAATGAATTCCAACAAAAATGGCAGTAGCTTTAACAATAAAGCTTTAACAATGAAAGTGACATTATGTCATATATATATATATATATGTGTGTGTGTGTGTGTGTGTATATATATATATATATATATATCTTTTTCAACTGATTTTCAAAGAAAGTACTTTAAATTATACTCTTTATTAAAACATTTTACCAGTGCTTTGAGGTAAAATCCTGTAAAAGATAGATTTTATTAAAAATAAAATAATATAGTTTATGAAATTAAAATTATAGTATACATAACTATAAATAAATGTATATAATACAAATATAAATATAAAAAATCAACAAGTATTAGGACAATAAGCATATCTTCTGCTTTATAAAAATGAACAGTGTGAACAAGCATTTAATAATTTAAATTATTTCATTTTGGTGATAAAACTTTCTGAAGAGGTTATAAAATGGTATAAAATACCTCTAGCCATTTTTCAATTGCTTCATTTTCTATACATTTTAAGAGGAGAATGAAGACAAAATATAATTTTTACAATTTTAATAAAATGATTGCTTTATAATTTTAATACAACATTAGCTAAGAACAAATCTCATTAGGAGGTTTTGAACAGGAAAATAAATGGACTATTCCATTATTTATATCATATCTATCATCTATTTATCTATCTCTCTATCTACCTACCTACCTATCTATCATTTAGGATACAGATCCTATTACCTACATTAAATGAAGTAGACTTTGTCTATTGATGCCTTTCAGTTAATTACATCTTTGTGCTATTAGAGACAATTGTGCCAGTATATATTGTCTTCTTCTATTGAACTTTAAAATCTTGAGCTGAACTTAACATTTTCCTTGGGACTTACTAAGAAGAAAAAGAGAAAAAGGGAATTTAACACTCCAATAGAATTTGGGATATTTGTGTATTTTATGAAGATTAGAGATCCTTGCCGAGACCGGTTTGGCTCAATGGATAGAGCGTTGGCTTGGGGACTGAAGGGACCCGGGTTCGATTCCGTTCAAGTGCATGTACCTTGGTTGCAGCATATACCCCATAGGGGGTGTGCAAGAGGCAGCTGATCGATGACTCTCTCTCATCAATGTTTCTGGCTTTCTATCTCTCTCCCTTCCTCTCTGTACAAAATCAATAAAATATATTTTTAAAAAAAGATTAGAGATCCTGGTTCTTGAATCTTTAATTCTAAATTCCCCTGAGCCACTAGGTTCCACAGCTTTTATTTCTGACAGTGCTTTCAAAGAGAGGTGTGTGCAGAGTCTAATTTCCCTAATATCTTTAGAAACACTGAAATGTTTTTAATAACTCTCGAGGGAACACAAAATCCTGTGATTACTAAAAAGAATAAAGTTTCCCAAATTCTATCCATTTCTCTATGGTCAGTTGAGGGTGTGACTTATTTTTAGATAATTGAGGCAAGATTTCTTTTTTTATAATTCTTTTTCTCCTATCCATGAACTTGTTGCATGAGTATTAAGGCCAGCCAGTGAGGGAAAAAGAAATAGTGATTTGCTAAGTGAAACCTGCCATTTAAAAGCTGCAATATTTGGATAAAAAAATAGCAATCAATTGGAAATCAGCCAAGGTACTTGACAAATAAGTTTGCTTATTTATAGGAGTTTCTACAAAATAGGGAAAGGGAATGGTTAGACAGCTTTAGAACCTTGCTCCTCATATGCCACTCACCTACCTCATACATAAATGCATTTGCTGTTATCAGTCCAAAACATATTTCAATTATTCTTTTTTTCAATTTTTTTATTGATTAAGGTATTACATGTTTCCATATTTTCCCATTCCCTCCCCACTCCACTCCCATACATGCTCTAGTCCCCCATTGTCTTGCGTCCATTGCTTGTGCTTATATGCATGCATATAAGTCCTTTGGTTGATCTCTTACCTCTCCCTCCTTCCCAGCCATCTTGCTATAATTTAACAGTCTGTTTTGATGATTCTCTGCCTCTGTATATATCTTTTTATTCATCAGTAATAATCTTATTTATTATCCATACATGAGTGAGATCATGTGGTATTTAACTTTCACTGACTGGCTTATTTCACTTAGCATAATGCTCTCCAGTTCCATCCATTCTGCTGCAAATGGTAAGAATTTCTTCTTTTTTAAAGCAGTATAGTATCTCATTGTGTAGATGTATCATAGTTTTCTTTTAAATTTAAAGCCAGTTAATTCAATCTGTCAATGTCCTCAAGTCTAATATAAAAATAGTCATATTTGGAATAAATCCTTTTCCCCCCTCATTTTCTGATTTACAGAAGAACCACAGAAAGAAACCAACATTGTTATTTATTGAAGTGTGCAATTTCATCTAATTCATTATTTTCATGAGGACTTTGCCACTATGTACTTAACAAATAGTTCATCAATTAAAATTTATAGCAGCACTACTGGAGTTTGAACAGACTGGGTTCAGTTTGCTTTTTCTCTTTCAGCTTTATCCACACCACTTGCCACCAAAATTATTGGGGCATCCTCTAATAATCCATCAACAGTTGGACATCCTTATTCTTTTTAGGAACTTTAATACTAAAAACAAATACAAAGCACATAAAGTCTATAATATTTTTGTTAGAACTATTAGAGTGATTTCAATAAAAAATAGTTAAAATCTATCTTCAAATCACACAGTTAAATAATACCTGTTAAGAAAGGCAAGCAAAATTTCAGCACAAAATATCTGCCTAAATGATCTCAATATTATTAGATAATTATGCAATCTACACTTACAACTTCAGATATGCAAATATAGCATTTCCGTGATTAGGTCTGCACAATTTAAACAAAGGGATGCCTTGAAATAAGTGAATAATTTGGGCAAAGAGCACACAATTGCCTGAAGTAGAAACATGAACTGAGAAAACAAGAGAATTATAATTTGAATTAGCAATTACCGGTACTTCCGGTCTTCATTTCAGTATGCATGGCCAGTTTTTAACTATAATATTAGGTTTGTTGATTTTTTGGCATTAACCAACCACATAAAATCATTATAATCACCACATACACACATACACACTAATACAATTCTTATCTATTAGTTGTAGTAACTGAGGTAATAGATAGACTTAATAAAAATTATAGTTTAAATTTGGTTGCAATAATGTATAAATATTTTATTTTGAACCAATTCCAACAATCACTGAATTTTTACTAGTAGAAGATTACATTTGTTGCCCTGCCTTCCAATAGAAACACATAGAAAAATTGTACTTACACTGAACAATGAGCTGCACCAAAGCTTCTCTTGGTTTCACATTAAATCCGTTGTATTGGCTGGTCTGACATCTGTACATTCCTGACATTTCCCTAGATACATTCACAATCCTCAGTGTTCCATCATAACTCTCCATTTGCATTGACCCGTCAGGCATTGCAACTTCTTTATCCGCTCTAGACCAAAGGATGATGGGTTTAGGTTTTCCAGTTACTTGACACTGTAGTTCTATTGTGTCTCCTTCTCTGGTGACCAAAGGTGATTTTTCCTGTGGAACAGTCAGATTGGGTGGAACTTGAAATGGGAAAAAGAAAATTTGTCAAGGTTAGTATAAACTGGTAAAGCACATTCAAACACAGAATATCATAAGAAAACAATTTCTGCTGGTTGAAGATGTGTGACGATTCAGATGACAAACATTACAGAAATCTCTGGAATAGGTGGCAAATTATTCTGATTTGTCTTATAGAACTCTCTTGAGTGAGGTCTTCCAACAGTAGCAAAATGAATAAAGCATTAAGTTATGCTTAAAATTGTCAACATAAGAAAAATCTATTCAATGACTTGTCATTATCAACCATTAATTGGGCACTTAACATTTGTATTTCACAAAAGAATGATCCTGCCTTCTGAGGGTTCACGTTTTCAGTTTTCCTATGATGTTATCTCTTACCCAAGGATGGTATAAGAAAAGGTATGGTATGTTGTAGATTTAGCAGGCACAGTAAACACAAGTAGTAGGAAAGGGAAAAGAAGAACCTTTGTTATACAATTAGAAGTTTTGACTGGTTTAGAAAACCTTGCCAAATTGCTAAGGTTTAAGGTTTGCTTTTTCCCTTATGGACATGAGATGGAACAATTCACTACAAATACCACATTGCAAATCCACTGTATTTTTCTCTTTTGAATTTCTAATATTTTTGATATTTGAATTTCCCCATATACTTTCATTTTAAGACACCTTGAAATCACTGTAGTTTGTAACACTGTTGCCACTATTTTGGTAATAATTTTAAGTATATTTTCAAAAGTAAATTTTAATAATATAAGAATTGCAATTTTTGAAGTTAAGCTAATTTCTGATTTTACTGAAGATATTTATGAGAAAATTAGGTTGATTTTTTGTGGATCTTAACTTTATTGCACTAGGATAAATATGTTATGATTTAAGATACAACATGAACTAACAAGAGGCAAGTACTACCTATGGAGTTTACTCACAAATAAAATCACCTGTTCCATTGGAAGACTTTTGCAATGTATATGAATTCAAATGTATTCTTGCAATAAAACTTCTATCAAAAAGCATGGGATAAATTAAATGCCAGAATAAAAATAAACAGAAATATATGAATAATTCTATCCTTCTGATAAATGTAATATGCTTCCTTTGGAGAGAATTGCATTGGGGTAAAAAGGCAAAGATTTCATTTTCCCTTCTAGCATCACTGTGCTCCAACACCCAAGAACAAAAGCAAACATAATTTAAAAATTATATTTCAACTAATGTGGAAATGTCTTTCTCACACAGAAAAAATAAATTCACATCAAAGTGATATGATAATTTATTATCTTGCTACTTAAGTATCTTTGTGTATAATTTTTTCACTTACTTCCTTCATTTACTTCTTATCTTAAAAAAGAAGTAAAATAAAAAAGTAGTTAATAGTGGAAATCAGAAAATATGGAACATTAAAACATTAATCATGATCTTCTTAGAATAGATATATACAGACTAAGAATTACCATTAACAAAGCATATGTTTAAATATGGTTGCATTTAAAATAATATATATAATTAAATAATTTAATTTAATAGATTATTCTTATAAATATAAACAATTATGTGATTTTGTTAAATTATTCCTTTAGTAAACCAAAAGAAATGATACAATTCTAGACAGCATCTTCTAACAATAGGACCAAAAAGAAACCTCAGTGTTTACACACCCTGCATGAGAAACCACAAAGGACAATAACAGTATCTCAGCATTCAACATTAATGATGTTCCTACTTTGTAATAGACACATTAGGGATTTTACATTTTCAGTTAATTCCTTTGATAATTCTAAGAATCAAATATTTCATATGAACATTTAACAAATAAAAATACTGAATATATGAGAAGATGAATACTTTCAAAAAAATTCAAACTGAGGCCAACTTATAACAAGTGAACAGTGTGTTCCAGTAAACCGTGGTGTCTGAAATGAATAATCTGCGTTAGCACTGGACTCCTGTTCACAACTGCTCTGCTCCGATGGACAAATTGGACTAATTGCCCCTGCCCATCTCTTGATCATTAGTCCAGGATCAATAAAAATGAGAAGGTAGAAATGTGAGAGTGATAGCGAGACTCATTTTGCCGACCACGGCATTAGGCCATTCTAAAATACCACATAAACCCTTGACTAAGTATGTTTTATAAACTTATCATGCTAAATAGTTAAGAAACTCCTTTTAAACATTTGTTTGTTATTCATTTATTTAGATAAAGTTTTCTCCTATGTATTCAAAATTACAGAAATGTAAACCTCAGTTTTAATCTAAGTAACTTGAAAACAAATTTTACATAAATTAGCCCAGTGTTTGCTAAATAGCAAAATCTAATTAAAATATAGTTTGTTTTCTTTATCTTCCATGAGGCTTTTTAAATCTTGAAATTGGAGTTAATATTTTCTCCACAACTTTCTTGGCCAAGGGAGTTTATGACTTCTACAGTTCTTTTAGTGCTTTTCTCTCAATATCCACATCAAATATTCCATTCTCTACAATTCTATATTCAGCCCTCTTAATTATTACTATGTTTTCTTTCTGTTATGAGATCCAGTTTGTTCTCACAAATTTATATATTTTATATGTTAATAATATGCATTCCAACTTTAGCCCAAGATCCTTCTAATTTATTACTACAGCATAGCATTTTTATACTCTAAAGCCTTTCAAATCTCCAAACCTAGGTACCATTTACTTCTTAACTTAGTTGATAGGTAATTATCAACACATTTATTCAGATAAAGACCATAACATTTCCTTTGTTTTACCATTTATTTTTGCTCACCACTTCCTATCAACCACTTTTCTTTCTCTATCAAAAAAATGTTCCATGTCTGCCTATTTCATGGTTGTAGGTAGATTTCTTGGTAGAAGTTGTCACAGTCTCTTCTTGTGACAGTGTCCTAATTGGCCTCTTTGTCACCAGTCTAATTTATCTAGGCTTCCTGTTATTTAGTCATAAATTTTATTATAATAAATGCTATTTTGTTCATGTCAGTATGAAAACTACAAACCTCAACAAGAGTGTTAATACTAATCCTGCTTTACTAAAAAAAAAAAATATTGAGAACGGTCTGATGGATGTGTTAAGTAAATAGTGGTACTACCACACAATAAAATATGATACAATTTTTTAAAGAAGACATAATAGACCAATATTTATCAAGAAACTAGTAAATAGTATGAACAGCTATAAGAACTATTAATAAATGAGTAAAACATGGTACTAAACAGTGTAAACAGTAGTGTCACATCTTTATATAAAGTCTCATGTTAATGAATGCTAACGGCGATTGTCTTAGAGGAGAGGGCGTATACTAATTGATTCATCTTTATATCGTTAGCATTCAGCACTCTAATTTACACATAGTAGGAACTCAGCAAAAATGTTTACAGCAAATGTACAATTAAAGACAACAAGCAGTTGGCCCAGAGTCAGAGAAGAGAAAAAATCTAGAGGAAAAGGAAGCCCCCCAAAAAATACTCCAAAATACTAACAATGATTCTCTCTGAGTGTGAGATTATTGATAATTTAATTTTCTCTGAATATTTCCTATATTTTTCATTCTTTTATAATATGCACAATGCATATAACATATTTGCATCAAAATGTTAATGCAACCTGTTTTTCAATGCTCATCCGATGAAAACTTCACTTTTTAATAACACAAATGTATCACTCTGAACATGGTGTTCTGGACAACATTGTCTGAGAAACGTTCCTCTATAACACTCCTATAACACTCGTTCACATGTGGTTTCACCAGCCAGTGAACTTCGGTGCTCTTCAATAAGCAGTTTTTTCTCTGTTCAGCATATACTCTAGCACTCCCTGCCTGCCCCAAGTGTTGAGATTTAGATCAAATGTTACTAATTTCAATGATAAATTTGCCTACCCGTGGGCTGAGGTGGTTATTCACTCTGCTGGACCATGTAGGACATTGTAGACCCATTTAACCTGTATTTGTGGCTTTGTCCTATATTTTCTCCCATGTTTATATCTCTGACCAGATAGCTCCTTGAAACCACAGAGTGTTTTATGTTATCTCTGAAATCTGACGCCTGCTTTCCTACTTGGCACAATCCAGGAAGCCACAAAATAATTGATGAAGGAAGTGGAGTAGAAACAGAGAGAAAGGTAAGGAGGTAAGAAGATAAACAACTATAAATGTAATAGAAATAAACGTAATAGGTAAAAATCATAAACATTTTATAACAGAAGTGATAAATAACAATAAAATGTAGTAATTATACAACTATAAACCCATACAAATACCAGAATCTTCTGCAAAATATATTGTTAGTATAGATTTTGGATGCAGTAGACCTTGATATATGTGAGGGTGTATGTGAGAGCTAAGAGACTCATAAAAGGGATATTTTTTTTTACAGTTTTCCTTTACTTTCTCTTTGCATTTAAAGATTTGGATAGATAAGCTGCAATAAAAAATAAAATAAAAAAAGTCAGAGAAAAGAGCCAATTCAAGAACATGCTATTTCTTTTGTTATGTTTGGTATGCTTTTTCTCTCATTAATGAATTTTAAAATATTGAATCTCACAATAAAAACATAAATTAAGTAGAACAATTTGAAATGTTTGCACCTTGTGAGAGTCACATTCATTCATCATGTACTGGCTAGAAACAGTTCCTCCTAATGAAACACAGGGACACAACTTCTGATATACATAAGACTACCCTTTGATTTCTCTTTTCTGCAATGCTACTGTTGGAGAAGTTATAATCAGATAAACTTCAAAAACATATGACACCCAAGTTTATTATTCCAAACATAAAGAAATAGACAAATAATTTAGGCAAACTGGTATTCTGTTAACTGTTCCATTGTATCATAGAATAAAGCAAATATAGAAAATGAAATTTTTCATTTTTTCCTTGATAAGGAAATTTAATCTTTAGTCTTGACTAGAAAATGACTGGCTTATTTTTCTTGCTTAAAAGAATGCAGGGGAAAACTAGCTATCCTGAACTCTATGGAAAAATATCATGTTGTCTGA